GGTTAGGGAGGCTTGTTGAAGATGAGGTGGGAGTAAGATTGGGCTTTTGGGAGGGAAGGCTAGGAGGAGTTGTGGGGTTGGGCTTAGGGGAGGGAATGTTAGTGGTGGGCTTTTCTGTGGAGGTAGAGGGGTTGTTTTTAGAGGTGTTCTCGTTTGGGGGTTGGCTGTCATGTGTTAAAAGGGGAAAATTATTAGAGCCTGCAGTGGGCTTGTGGGGGCCTTCTGAAAGTTTTTTGGGTTGAGGTGGCTTTTTGGCTTGGAGTGTTTGTAAGTCTGAGTGACTGGAGCCTGCAGTGGGTTTGTTTTTTTGCTGTATGGATGTATCTTTGGGAATTTTCCGGCCATCAGGGTGGCTGTGGCTTACTGGATTTGACTGGGATTCAGGTAATCCTTGGGTTTTCAAGGTTTCTGTATGGGGCTTGGAAAATTTGCAGTGGGTGTTGTGCCTCCCGACCCCCCTGCATTCCCTGCAGTATTCTGGGAGTTCCTCATATACAGCTGTGAGGAGGAGGGGATTAGAGCCATTTTTAACATAAAATTTGGTGGTTGGGGGTTTGGAGATATCAACCTCTACGCAGACTCTAGCAGTTGATGGTCGCCCGTAGTTTTCAGTCGTGGCATCTATTTTGAGGGCTTTTCCAAACAGGTTTCCTATCCTCATAAGTGAGGACTTGGAGTGCAGGTGGATGGGAAGATCTTTTATGGAAATCCAGATAGGAAGAATGGGTGACTCATACCTGGGATCAAAGTCTGGAGTCCATTTGGAAATGCGCATATGGTAGCTCCCAAGTTTCCAATCTTGCCTCTTGAAGCAGCGGTGGAAATCATTATCGTTGGAGAAGTTGATGAGGATGTGTGTGCTATCCATGAGCATGGTTGTTAAGTCGACAAGTCGAGTCGAGTCGGTGACAGGGAGACTAGTGGACTAGGCGACAAATCACAATTAGTATTAAAATTTTTAACATTATATATATCTATGTTAACCCAACATGAATATATATATATATATATATATATATATATATATATATATATATTTATATGTCAAAACACCATAACCAAAGCAAACTTATGCTTAAAGATAGCACATAAAGTCACTTAACAAAGAGTACATAACAAACAAATATCCTTCCATCTTTAAAAATAACACACCAAGAAAGATAATTAACCAAATAAGAAGTCAAAGGACATATTAAAATAGTTAATTCCATGTTTTGAGTTATCAAAAAACTGAAATAAAAAAAA